AAAAAAAAAAATTTTAAACTTGACGGAGTTGCCAGGATAAAGCAGGTTGGGCCTTTGTTGCCGTAAGCACACAGCTAGTCTCTCCACTGGTCACCACTCTTCTCATCCCCCTAAGTGTGGCTGCGGAGAGTACTAGCCCAGGGTACTGCTGGAGCACCTGCTTCTTTCTCACGCCCCAGGAGAGCCAGGCCATCCCCCTGGTGTCTGTGGCCAGCGTGGCTGCTGGCAAGGCCAAGAGGCAGGTGTGCTGTGGCTCTGAGGATCGTCTTGAGAGGCCCCTCCGGCCGCAGGAGTCCTGCGATCCAGGTACTGGCCCTGGCCTGGCCTCCAGCCTGTGTCGGGCCTCCTTTCCTCCCCTCACCCCGTCTCTGTGGGAGGACTTGGCTCCAGGAGACAGCTGTTCGGGGAGCAGATTCCAAACTTCATGTCGCTCTAGCCCTTGAGAGGGGCCTACATCTGGGGCAAGAGACTGTCCATTGAAGCATCTTGGCTGGGGGTCACCTCCAGGGTGACAGTATAACGTGCAGCCATGCTAACAGATGTGGGACAGGTCACCAGCTCGTGTGTAAACAAATGGCTAACAGACTAGTAAAATCAAGCTGTGCTGCGCGGGGTCCTTCCTGGAAGGTGGCTTTGTATAAACTCACCTGAGGGTCTGGTGGAGCACCGAAGGGTGCCAGGTTCATGCCAGTGCGCTTGGAGGGCCACCTGGACTAAAACGGTCCCTGGGAAGGCCAGGCACGTGTAGGTGGTGAGGGTGTGGTCAGAGGCCCTTGAGACGTGATTTGTGCACTGCTGTGGGAACAGAGGCCTTGCTTCCCACCCGTCTCCTCCCGGCAGATCGAGGGGGCAGCCGTGCAGCAGCCCCTGGGCCTCTGCTGAAGAGGAGCCAGTCCTTCCCGCTGCCTTCTGTTCACGAAGAGATCCTGGATGAGCTCGGCAAGGCCCAGGCAGGTGACCAGGCCCCTTTTGCTCCACCAGGTAAGGCATTGGGTACCCTGACCTTGGAGCGTTGATGGGTGGGCAAGCCCTCAGGCCCAGAGAACCCTGTGCACACACTCAGCCTTGATTTGATGCGGTGGTGATTGTCTTGGTGCCCCAGGCATCCTGTGGGCTCCTCTCCACACTGCGCCACTTCTGTGCTCCCCGTGTTCTCACCCCCGAGGCTGTGCCCGGCCACTGCAGGAGCATCTGCTCCAGCACCATCCTTTCTTCCCTGTGCACACCATCAGGCTGCATCCCCTGCTGAAATAGACTTCCTAGGCCCTCTGGCCCCTCAGCTGCCACTGGATCTGCTTCCACGCAAGCAGAGCTCTCCAGGAGCTGTCCATGCCAGCTCGTCCCCAGTCTGTCTCTGCTGTGCTTTCTCAGCAGCTCTCTGCCCCTCTCTGGGGCACCTTCCCCACAGGGACTTGGCCTCTGTGGATAGGCTCCCAGCGCATCCTGGCGGTTGGGCCAGGGATTCTCTCATCCCGTCCGGCAGCCTTCACAAACTAGCTCGTTCCTTACCACCTTCTAATTTTGCTCTTATGTTCATTAGAAAGTTTGTTTCGTTTTTATGTGCATTTTGTGAGTTGCCGGCAGGTTTCATCATCTGGTGTATTTGAGAGCTATCTGGGTACCCCTTTAAGAATTGTCTGTTTATATTCTCTGCTCATTTTCTGCAGGGTTTCCTGAGTCTGCCTTGTTGATTTGCATTAATTCTGTATATGCTCTGGATAGAGACCTTCCACCATTTGTAATTGTTCAGATGTCTTTTGTCCGTGTCCGTCTGTTACAACGCCCACCCTTGTGGACCATTGTGGAGCAGGAATCCTTGATGTTCATTTATTGAAAAGCAGCCGTTGCACACCTTGTGATTTGTGTCTGGGGCCTTCCTTATTCTTTGCTCATTCACTGGGTTGTAAGTGCATTTGTCTAGATCCTTTTCTGCTAGCTCTGTGGTTTTCCCTTCCCTGAGGTCTCATTCATTTGCACTTCCTACTTGTATGTGTTTGAAGTAAGAAATTAGGTCTTTTCTTACTTTGTATATACTGATAATTTACACAGCGCCATTAAGATCTTTCATTTACCTGTTGCTTTTTTTTTTCCTTTGGTGCCATGTTCATTTGGTATCAAGTTTCTGACTCTACGTGGAATTTTTTGTTTGTTTAGTAATAGATTTTTGGAGATATGATTCACATACCATTAAGTCCACCCTTTTTAAAAAAAATGTTTATTATTCTTTTTTTTGAGAGAGTGGGGAGGGTTTGGAGTGGGGGAAGAATCCCAAGCAGGCTCCATGCTCAGCACAAAGCCCAATGAGGAGCTCGAACTCACAACCGACTTCCAGATCATGACCTAAGCCAATATCAAGGGTCAGATGCTTAACTGACTAAGCCATCCAGGTGCCCTGAGTTCACCCTTTTATTTATGTATTTATTTACTTAGGGGCCCCTGGGTAGCTCAGTTGGTTGGGCATCTGACTTCGGCTCAGGTCATGATCTCGTGGTTCACAAGTTTGAGCCCCATATCGGGCCCTGTGCTGACAGCTCAGAGCCTGGAGCCTGCTTCTTGGATTCTGTGTCTCCCTTTCTCTCTGCCCTTCCCCTGTTTATTCTCTGTCTCCCTCCCTCCCTCAATCTCTCTCTCTCTCTCTCTCTCAAAAATAAATAAAACATTAAAAAATTTTTATTTATTTACTTAATTTCTTTATTTTTTAAAGCTTATTTATTTGAGGGAGAGAGAGAGAGAGAGCACAAGCAGGGGAGGGGCAGAGAGAGGGAGAGAGAATCCCAAGCAGGCTCTGCACTGTCAGCGTGGAGCCCAATGCGGGGCTCAAACTCATGAACTGTGAGATCATGACCTGAGCTGAAGTCAAGAGCCGGACGATTAACCAGCTGGCACCCCCCCAGTTCACCCTTTTAAAGTGTACAATTTATTAGTATATTCACAAAATTTTACATCCATCACTACTGTCTGTTCCCAGAACATTTTGTCAGACAGTGGAAACGCCGTGTCCTCATCAGCCGTCACCCCCTGCACCAGCCCCGGGCAACCACTGATCTGCTTTCTGTCTCTTGGGTTTGTCTGTTCTGGATATTTCATTACTAGGATCTACTTTTTAGGTATCTTTTGTGTTTTTAGGTATTCCTTTGTGTTCTATTTGCCTGTTTCTTCATGGATACCAAGGTGTTCTCAATTTTCATTAACTGCTTATGGTTGTATGATATGAATACAGAAGGTGTAAATCATAAATGGACAGCTTATGATTTTTCATAAACTGAACTCACTTGTGAGGCCGGCACCCAGGTGCAAAAAGCAGGTGCCACAGTTACCAGTGGTGAAGTTAGGCTGCTGCTCCCTGCCCTTCTGAGTCCCAGCAGTCAGGCTGCTTCTCAGCTTTCGTCTGACATCCATGCGTGTTGTGTGGAGCAAGACGCACCTGTTCTCGCTGATGGATAGAGATTTATTGTGTGAATACACTGCATGTGTGTCTGTTGAACACACACGTATGTGTTCCTGTTGAAACCGCTGGCTCATAAAGTGCACACGATTGACTCAGAGGCACTGCCCACGCTTTTCTGAGTGTCGGTCCCAGTTCGTGCTTCCACTACCCTCCCAAGGCTGTGCTGTCCAGTGTGGAGCCTCCGTCCCCTCAGGTGCTCTTGGCCTTGGGTGTCTGTGCTGCCGACAGGTCGCACCATCTTCCGGGAAACCTCCTGCTATTGCACCGTCCTGTCGTCTTCACCTGACCCCCTGGGCCACAGTGGGTCTCTCTGTGGCTGCACCTCCAGCCTCCTGATGCCTCTTGAGCCCCAGCACTTTCCGTTTCCATGGGGAGTGGGCTGCCATTGTCTTTTGTCCATTTTCCTCTTAGGGTGTCATTTGTCTAATTGCTGATTAATAGGACTTCTTTAGATAGTCTCTGTTAGATATAGGTATTGAAAATATTTTGTGCTCTTTTCACCCTCTTAATGATGTCTTTTAATGAATAGAAGTTTTTAAATTTCACAGAGTCCAATTTATCAATTTTTTTCTTTTGTGATTATTATTTGTGTCCTATTTAGGAAATCTGCCTGTAAGATTTAACATTTTACCATTCACATTTATCCTTCTAGGATTGGTTCTTTTGTCTAAAGTGAGCGGGGCTCATGATACACTTTTTTTCCAGCTATTCAGCTGACCTGCTGTATTTTTTAAAAATGTGTTTAGCAAATTTTTTCAAAAGAAGCTTAAGTGCTAGATAACTGAAAATAATAGCAGTCCACAAATAATAAAGTTTGACTCTGAATTATCTAGTTCTGTTAACATGTCTGGTTAACATCCACGCAGGTCCCAATACCTTTCCTCTGGTCCAGAAAAATAATGCCCTCTTAGAGGACATGTGTCTGCAAAGATCAGAGACACTGATCAGAATCTTAAGTTTTGTCAGCTGTCTTGTATATAGTATATAATACGTGATGTGTATAAACTAGGAGAATAGCATCCTACAGAAATGTGTAACCTTTGATATATGCGTGTATCCGTTACGGGGAGTATGGTTGGGTTTTATTTGTAAAATAGATATTGGTATCACAATACCTTGGCTTAATAATAAAACAATAATATGTTAATATATAAAATGTTAATATGTTGTTAAATAGTAACATAACAGTATTACAGTAAGTACTATAAATACACAGTATCTCAGACTGAGCAAAAATAGTTATGATTAAAAGTTGGTTGTGGGGGTACCTGGCTGGCTCAGTCAGTGGAGCGTGTGACTCTTAATCTCGGGGTCATAAGTTTGAGCCCACGTTGGGTATACAGATGACTTAAAAATAAAATCTTAAAAATAAAAAAAATTTTTTCTTCTAATGTTTAGTTTTGAGAGAGAGCACAAGTGGGGTAGGGGCAGGGAGACAGTCACAGAATCCAGAGCAGGCTCTGAGCTGTCAGCACAGAGCCTGATGCAGGGCTTGAACACATGAGCTGTGAGATCATGACCTGAGCTGAAATCGGGCACTTAACCAACTGAGCCACCTAGGCGCCCCCCCCCCCCAAATTTTTTTAATTTAAAAAACAAAATAAAAGTTGGTTGTGGGTCACAGGAGAGCATGAAAGCACAGTGACTTTGTGCTCCAGTGGTTTTATCTACCAGGGTCTGTATTCGTCAGGCTTCAAGGAGAGCTCAGCCGGCCTTCGGCGAGTGCATATGGACCCACATGCCCATGCCCAGGCTGGTCCTTAGTGTCCTCAGTCTTCCCTCCATTTGTAGGGGGCACAGCAGGTGCAACCTCAGACCTGAGGATGGCATGTGACCGTGCCAGGGTCCTTCTCCATGCAGAGGAACGCCTTGGGAGCTCTGTGGCCAGCAAGGTGGGTGGGGACCCTCTTTCCCCTCTCTGGCTTTGGTGCTCCTTGGCTGTAGTGTGTCCTGCGGGGACCCTTCCCCTGCCACACCCCTCTGATCACGCTGCCTCTGTTCTTCTCAAGTCCAAGAAGAACGTGATTGTTGCAGACACTCCCTCTGCGGTCTTCCACTACTCAGAGACTAACTTAGATGAGACTGTCTCCAGCAGGAAGACAGATGCTATCTTCAGAGCCGCCAAGAAGGACCTGCTCACCCTGATGAAGCTGGATGTAAGTGGCCACCCTCCTGCCCTGTCTCTGGCTTGGGTGAGCATGGAAACATGTGCAGTCTCTGGTGGGACAGGTGGGTGATGACTCCTGCACATTGTCCTAAAGACCCACGCCTTTGGGGCAGTGTGTCCCAGGATGGAGTTATTGTGCTGGTGGCTTCGCAGACCCTCTCCCTGGCACTTTCTCAGTACATCCTTGCCCTCCTCCACGGGCTGTGAGTCCTGTGTGCTCTGCAAACTTTGGATGCCATCTAAGGGTTAAAGAGTTGTGAATACCTTGTATACAGAAGAGAGTGGGTGCCCATGGAGCCACCACATAAGGGACCAAACTACTGGTCCCGAAACCAGCTGTGTGCCCTCAGTGGCTGCAACCCCCTGCTCCCCGGGAAGACCACTGCCTTGCGCCTGTGTGTGGACTTGATGTGCGCGACTCCTCCTGTGTGTCCTCTGGGCCTACTGACACTTGCTCAGCTTTGTGCCTGTGACTTGCCCACACAATTGTCAGTCCTGGAGGCCCCATCACTGCTGTCTCTGGCTCGGGCCAGCATGGGAATGTGCTCTGCATATCTATCTCTCATATCACAGCACATCCGTGCTGTGGAGGGACACACACTCATGTGTCTGTGTCCCAGGGGGTATATATCACCACTTGCCCAGATCATTGGCAAGGGCTCCTGTGACCCTGCATGCATGACAGCAGTCGGGATTTTCAGACCTTTCCATTTCAGACAAATAAGGCACAATGAACATGGCTTTTAATTTTTCTTATTTTATTATTTTTTAAGATTTTATTTTTGGGGGCACCCGGGAGGTTTGGTCGGTTAAGCATCCAGCTTTTGATCTCAGCTCAGATCTTGATCTTAGGGTCGTGAGTTCAAAGCCTGCCTGCCATAAAAAAAAAAAAAAAATGCTTATTCTGTATCTATTGATATGACCATGTGGTTTTTTTTTTTTTTTTTTTTTTTTTTTTTTGGTCTGTTGACGGGATGAATTACATTGAACTGATTTTTTATTTATTTATTTTTTAAACCTGTTTTTTAATGTTTATTTTATTTTTGAAGGAGAGAGAGACAGGGTGTGAGTGGGGGAGAGAGAGACACACACACACACACACGCCCTTGCCTACCACACACACACCACCACCACACACACACACAGAATCAGGGCTTAGCTCGGAGGCTCTGAGCTGTCAACCTGGGAGAGGCAACATGAAGGCTCAGACTTCCTCACGACCACCCAGATGTGACCTGAGCCACAGTTGGACGCTCAACCGACTGAGCCACCCAGGCGCCCCCCATTAATTGATTTTTCAAGTGTTGGACCAGCCTTGCATACCTGGGACAGATCCCACTTGTTTGTTGCGTATAATTCTTATGTTGTTGGATTTGATTTGCTAATGCTTTGTTGAGAAATTTTGCATCTGTGTTCGTGAGAGATACAGGTCTATAGTTTTATTGGATTGTCTTTGTCTGGTTTGGGTGTTTAGGAAATGCTGGCTTCATAGAATAAGCTAAGAATTCCCTCTGCTTCAATTTTCTGAAAGAGATTGTAGAGAATTAGTGTAATTTCTTCCTTAAATATCTGGCAGAATCTACCAGTGAACCCATCTGGGCCTGGTGCATTCTGTTTTGGAAAGTTATTAATTGCTGACTCAATTTCTTAATAGATATAGGCTTATTCAGGTAGTCTCTTGTGTGAATTTTGGTGGATTGTGTCTTTCAAGGAACAGGCTCATTTCATCTAGGTTATTAAATTGTTGAACATAGATTGTTCATAGTATTCCTATATTATCCTTTTACTTTGCTGGTTATCTGTAGTGATGTCCCTTCTTTCATTTCTGATAGTAATAATTTGTGTTCTCTTTCTTTTTTTTCTTAGTCGGCTATAGGCTTATCAATTTTGTTGATTTTTTCAAAGAATTGGCTTTTGATTTTGTTGATTCTCCCTATTGGTTTCCTGTTCTCAATTTTATTGATTTCTGCTCTAATTTTTTATTTAAAAAAAATTTTTTTTAACATTTATTTATTT